CTTGAGCCCAGGAGTTTGAGGTTGCTGTGAGCTAGGCTGACGCCATGGCACTCTAGCCTGGGCAACAGAGTGAGACTCTGTCTCAAAAAAATAAAAAAAACAAAAACAAATCAGTTGTCTAAACATGAAAATGTCATCAGGAAATAAAATTAAAAGACAAATGACAAACTGGGAAAATATAACATATACAATAAAGGGTTAATAACTACACATAAACAAGAAAATTATTAATAAGTGGGTAATGGGGGAAAGGCAATTCGCAAAAGAACAAATCCAGAAGAGAGAAAAAGTTTAACTTGGCTATAATAAAATAAATGCAAATTAGAGTGAGATACAACTTTCTGTGTTTCAAATCAACAAATTAAAAGATACTACTCAATGCCAGTGAGGGAAAGACAGGGTACTTTCATGGAGCTGTAACTTTTCTGGGAAACAATTTAGCAGTAAGTTTCAAGAATCTTACAAATAATTAATTTCCTTTGACCTAGTAATTCTACTTGTAGGATTCTATCCTAAGGAATTTATCAGAAAGGTACATAAAGTTTTATACAACAGTAGCACCATTCATAAGAATTAAAAACTAGAAACAATATAGACAAATAAGAATAAGAAAACAAAGTATCATACTACATTTAACTGATGCTTTCATTAAAAATTATATATTTTTGAAGACTAGTTATTGTCATTGGGGGGAGATGCGCACAATACAATATAAAGTGAGGGGAAAGTTAAAATTGTTTGCAACCGGGAGATGGGGCTAGACTCGGAAATTGCCTCTGGGGATGAGGACTGGGGAAGGGGGGGCCTTCACATTTTACTGTTCTTTTCCTTTTCAGTGTACAGTAATAGTAGTGGCCATACTACTAATGACAATTTGAATGATCACTGTAGGCCAAGCATTATTCTAAGTGTTTTGTCTTTATTTTCTTACTTAATCCTCACAACAACCTGAGGAGGTAAGTGAGGTTTTCATTCCGGCTTTACAGAGAAGCAAACTGAAGCACAGAGAAGTCAAGGCAATTACCTAAGCGAGAGCCAGGATTCAAGGGCGGAAACTTGACTCTGAAGTCTTGTTTCTTAACGACTACGACATGCTGCCTCTGGTTATACATTTGTTGTGTATTTGTAGTACTGTGTTTGTAAATTTAGAAACTAATTCACCTTTGCCCCAGTGGTTCCGTGGGCTAAGAAAACTCTTCCCCATCTACATAATAACTCCTTGATCTCTTACAAGTCCTTGTTTAATTGTCACCTTCACAGTGAGTCCTAGCCTGACCACTCAGTTCAAAATTGCAACCTCTCCCCCATCTGTTTCACCTTGCTCTATTTTTTCCATAGTATTTATCTAGCATATTATAATTTTCAGATTCACTATATTACTTATATTACTTTTGTTCTCCTCCAATATATGAGCTCCACTAGGTCAGGTTGTGGTTTTCTTTCTTTTTTTTTTTTTTCAAATTTGTCTTGCTAACTGATACCCTGCAGCCTGAAAAGGTCCTGGCACAAACTAGGTGCTCAATAAATATCTGTGAAATAAATGAAGTTTTAAAAACATAGCATGACTCTGACGTTGCTTTCTTATTTTAAAGCGTGAACATATATACATTTGGGGGGGACTATTTCAAAATGTGAATAGTAATTTTCAGGTGATTTTTTTCCTTCTTTATGTTTTCCAGCGATTTTATTCCCAAAATTCTACATAAAACCGTATTATTTTATGATAAAATTGGTTTCAAAACGTCTCTCTAAGCCTCCAGCGTTGCCACGCACAGCAAATTGTTTTGCTGCAAATTTCATGAAGCCGTTCCCCTGTAGGAAACGCAAGGGAAAACCGCAGAGGTATTGACGGTCTTTTTAAAAAAAAAAATTATTGTTTTTAAATCATCACCAGGTATTTTCTAGCGGTTCAATATTTCCTAAAGGAATGCAAATGCATCCCTCTCGGGTCGCCCGCCGCATCCCTGGGAACACGCCCACCTAGCAACCGGGCCGGGCGGGCGCGCTGCGCCTTTAATTCCCAGGCCCGGCGGGGGGATTTCCGCTCCCGCGCGGTCTCCGCGTCGCCGGTGGCCGCTGTCACCTGTACGGCGAGCGCCGCGCGTGCGGGATGGAGCCCGGCGCCCCCCGGACAGGACGCGGAGGCAGCAGCCCGCTCCGAAGGCCGAGGGCCCGGCGGGGCGCGGGCGGGGGGCTCTCGCCGCGGCCCCCGGCGCCCTTTGCCCGCAGACGCCGGGCGTGACCGAGACGCAGCGCCGGGCACACGCCCGTGTGGCCGCGGCGAAGACGCGCCAGGTGAGCGCGGCCGAGGCTGACGCGACTCTCCGAACCTCCGCCCCCGCGCGGCCCGGGGGCGCCGCAGGGCTCGCCCGTCCCAGCCCGCGGAACCGGGGCCGGCGGGAGCGGTGGCCCGGCTCCGCTCTGCGGCCCGGACCGCCCATGGCGCTCGCCGCCGCCGCCGCCGCCGCGGCCGCCGGGGTGAGCCAGGCCGCGGTGCTCGGCTTCCTGCGCGAGCGGGGCGGCCAGGTGCCGAGCGCCGAGCTGCTGAGCCGCTTCAAGCCGCTGCTGGACGCCGGCGACCCGCGGGGCCGCGCCGCCCGCAGGGACCGCTTCAAGCAGTACGTCAACGACGTGGCCGTGGTGAAGGAGCTCGACGGCGTCAAGGTCGTGGTGCTGCGGAAGCAGCCGCGGCCCCGGGACGGGCCGGAGCTGCCGCCCTCCGGCGCCCCCGCGGAGCCGGGCCCGCTGGCGGACACCACGCTCCTCCCACCGGGGGGAGACTCTGCCCCGACGGCCCCGGCCTTCGCCGCGGCACCGCCCGCGCATCTGGCCCGGCCGTCGGAGCCACAAGACACCCCCGGGGCTCCGGCCTCTGAACCCCCTCAGCCGAGCGGGGCGCTGCCGTCAGGCTCGGCCCCGCAGCCCGCGGGCCCTGCCGACCCCCGAGAGCCGGCCTCGAAGCCGGCCCAGCCCGCAGAGGGGCTCCCCGCAGCCGCGGCCCCACCGTCCAGGGCGCCGTCGGAGGCGGCCTCGCCCCGGGTAGAGCCGCCGGAGCCCGACCCTGCGCCCGGGGCCGCGCAAGGGCCGCCGCCGAAGCCCAGCATGCTGCCCGTGCGCTGCGTGCCCGGCGCCGCCGCGCTGCGGCTCCGCGCCGAAGAGCAAGGGCTGCGCCGGCAGCTGTCGGAAGAGCCCAGCCCGCGCAGCTCCCCGCTGCTGCTGAGGCGGCTCTCGGTGGAGGAGTCGGGCCTGGGCCCCGGCCGCTCCCCGCACCTGAGGCGCCTGTCGCGCGCCGGCCCGCGTCTGCTGAGCCCCGACGCCGAGGAGGCGCCCGCCGCGCCGCCGCCGTCCGCCGTGCCCCTGGAGCCGTCGGAGCACGAGTGGCTGGTGAGGGCGGCCAACGGCCGCTGGACTCACCAGCTCCACGGGCTGCTGCTGCGCGACCGCGGCCTGGCGGCCAAGCGCGACTTCATGTCTGGCTTCACCGCCCTGCACTGGGCCGCCAAGAGCGGCGACCGCGAGATGGCGCTGCAGCTGGTGGCGGTTGCGCGGCGGGGGGGCGCGCCCGTCGACGTGAACGCGCGCTCGCACGGCGGCTACACGCCGCTGCACTTGGCGGCGCTGCACGGCCACGAGGACGCCGCCGTGCTGCTCGTGGTGCGCCTGGGCGCACAGGTGCACGTGCGTGACCACAGCGGGCGTCGCGCTTACCAGTATCTGCCGCCCGGCTCCTCGTCTGCGCTGCGCCGCCTACTCGGCGACCCGGGCGTGCGAGGCACGACGGAGCAGGATGCGATCGATGGGGCAGGTGGCAGTCTTGCAGCCCGGCGCCCGGTGCAGGTGGCCGCCACCATCCTCAGTTCCACGACGAGTGCGTTTCTGGGCGTCCTGGCCGACGACATGATGCTCCAGGACCTGGCCCGAGGCTTGAAGAAATCTGGCTCCTTCAGCAAGTTCTTGAGCGCCTCGCCTATGGCTCCGCGAAAAAAGACAAAGATCCGCGGTGGCCTGCCCGCCTTCTCGGAAGTTTCCCGTCGACCTGTTCCGGGGCCTTTAGCTGGGCTAGTGCCCAATCTGCCTCCCGCAATCTGACGGTCCCTGGGGCTGTGGCCTGGTTGATCTAACCGGACCTTCCCCCTACGTTTAAGCCTGCCCACGGCTGGGGCCCCATACCTGCAGCCCCATCCTGTTTTCAGCTTTGTCCACCGCAGCCTGTTTTAAGCAAATCATCCTGCGCCCCCAGAGTCTGTCTAAAGCTTGACCTGTCTCCAGAGACTCCAGATCTGACTGAGGTCTGGAATCTTCTCTTATGAAGAACTCCAGTAGTCAGGCCTGAATTCTGGAGGAGACTTGAAATTTAGGGTTGCAGGTTAAGGGGCAGCAGCTGGTCTGGCCCCTGAATGCCTTGGTATCTACACAGCCCCAAGCCATAACTAGAGCAAGGGTCTCTTTAAATGTTGGAAGGTGTTAGGTTGTCAGCTTTAAAATACGTGGTGGTTTTGTAATTTGATGCTTTTATTCTGTTTTTAAATTGACATGAGGTAAAGCAACTTTCATAATAACCTTTTGAAATTATATTTTTCCACTCTTAGGCAAAATGCCCATTTTCAATTTTTTGCTAAATATTTTGAAGTTCTATTTAAAAAATAGATTATCAAGATCTAAAGAAAATTAGTCCCGACCAACAAACTTAAAAGTTTATCTACCTCGTTTTAGGTAATCAAGATTCTAGAGTCTTGAACGCAGAATAACCATTGTGACCGTTATGAATGTAATTAATTTCAGTTGTACTGTGAATGCTAAATATTTGGAAACAAGTGCATCTTGGGAGTAGGGATGACAAAGAGAAAAGAAACATTTTGGCAGATATTTTAAATTTGTGGTTGTCTTCATAGTGAAATATAAACTTGTGTTTGGCACTGGTAGGTGGCTATTTTGATTTGGCATGAATATTTAATTTTTTTAAATTGTGATTTGTGAATTGCACTTTTGTACCATGTTTCTGAGTCTGTGGTTTTCAAATCCAGCTTAGCCTTTCAGTGCAATAAGTGAATATTCAAAGAAAAAAATTCATAGCATTACACGAGAAAAATAACTGATTAAATAGTAACGGATACAATTAGGGAGCAACTCCTTTATATGAAAGTTCTGTGCAAACAAAAAGCATGTGATATCCATTTAAAAAAATTTCAAAGCAGACAACTCATTCCAAAATACCAAAAGCAGATTCTCTTTGCTCAGTGAGCTTGGATGAGTGGCTTAACTTCCCTGGTCCTTTTTTCCTACCTGTAAGTTGAGGTTGTAGATATTGCCAAGATTTCCCAGGTTGAACACAGTGTAATTATAATGCATTTTTTTTTTCTGTTTTAAAGATGTGGAATCCATTTGCTCAACCAGCCTTTTTTTCTATCAAATTGTGAGATGCTCTACTTTTTCAAATTGTGTTTGCATGTCATTAGTTATATCAAATAGTTTTTGTCACACAGGGTACTGGGGCATTTTCCCCTGGTATATCAGTGAAGGCTTTGAAATTATTTAAGGTAGTCCTTCATGGAATGTTTTGATTTAAGAAATGAAATAAACAGTCCTCCATTTGTTCCTGTTTGTGTGGTGATGTACTTCCCTTAAACATTCTACAGCTTTTGCTACTGTATTTGTCTTTTCTTTTCTTATCTACTTAATTTTTTCCTTTTTTCCTCATTATTCTTCTGCCTCTTTGAAGCATTGTTACTGAAAGAGTTTGGATTGCTCTGCAAAGGAGTCAACCACACATGGATATAGTAGCCAAGAACTGCAGACAAATGTAGGCCCTGATCTGACCCTTCCCACCTTCCTTGCCTGGAACTGTAGCTAATTTGCATAAATTATTTTTAAATGCAAATTAAATGCCTCTGCAGAAAAATTGTGGGAGGTACAATTACAGTAATCCGAGTAGCTGAAGGTCTAGAAGACAATAAAATATTAGAGATTTTCCATAGTAATAGACCCAACTGAGACAAGGTAACAAAGGTCACAGACACAGGTATGACCTACCTTGAGAAAGACAAAATTTAAACCATCAAAGTGTTAATAACAACAACTAATGTTTATTGCACACTTAAATCAGAGGAGGGTTATTTGAATTGCCAGAAGAATCTCTGTGCTTCAGAAGGTGTGCTACGAGCCTTCCATGTTAAGTAAAACATTTGGTGAGGGTTTAGAATCAATACCTCTAAAGCTCAGCTGTTAGAAACCACTGCTTTTTCCTTGCAGGCCAAAGCCTTTTTTTTTTTTTTTTTTTTTTTTTTTTGCATTCTACTGTTAGGGCAATTTAGCTGGTAAGAATTGTCATGAGGAGAATCATTCCTTTTAATGGGGGAGAAGTTAATTGTTGATGTAGATGTGTATGAGTCATATGCATAGCAAGCTTTTAAAGAAAGTTTTACATTTCCTTTAATGGAGGTTGTAGGTAATTCTTGAGCGTGCTGCACTTACCTAATGGAGATCCAGGGTAACGCTTATACTGTAAAACCTGTATTTAGGTGCCAGGCACAGTTCTAAACTCTGCAGGTATTAACCACAACCTTACATGGTATGTCCTATTTGTATATTGACTTTGAAAGTGAGGAACCTGAAGTCTAGGGAAGTTGTAAGTAACCCGTTTGGGCCCCAAAGCTCGTAAGTGGCAGAGTTGGGATAGCACCCTCGTGCTCCTTTTCATGAGGTTGTCACAGGAAGCGGGGTGTCTCATCTCAACTCTTTACTCATTTAGTGACCTGGGAAATCACTCAATTCTCCAACCTCCCTTCTCTGTGGGACAGAAGACTGGCCATACCCATCCTACAGGCTGTTGGGAAGGAGGAGCACATGGAATAGGTAGGTAGAGCTTGTTGTGAATTGCAATACCAACCTGAGATATTATTACCAGGAGTGCCACGCTGGTTCCACGGGGGCAAAGGGCTGCATTCCAAAACAGCTCTGACTTGTGGATTTGCTTTACAGGATCATTCTTTTATCAAGTTAGCATCTGCATACATAAATGATCAGCTCTACCAGGAAAAACGTATCCTCACAAGGAAAATGATCCCACGTTCTGTATATGGTATCACTTTAGTTAAAATAGCAATAGCAATGTCTTTCTTAACTCACATTCCTAGCGTCCCTACTGCCACGTTCGAGACCTAGGCTGCCGCCATGCGGCCAGCTGGGCTGAGAGCGCCCCCAACACACAGTTAAGGCTGGGCCCACCCAGGACCCGCATTCTCACCTTTTGGCCTTTTCCTGGAAGAAATTATTTGACCATTTAAAATGTTTTCATAATTAGATTCTCTATTACTCTCCAGATAGGCTTCTGCCTCCAACTGGCCTCACCCGGCGTCGGGAACTGCCACACCTCGGGGACTTCAACCTCTGAAACAGGGTGGCCTCAGGTGTGCCCGCAGGGAAGAGGAAACAAAGGGTCAGGGAAGTCCAGACCTCTTTCCGAAGGGGAAAAAAAAATCCTCCCGCTGGAAAGTGGGTGAAATATCAAAGACAACAGGTAACAGTCCACTGTGACCTGAGCAGTACGAGGCTGTGGCCGCAGCACCCTGGGGTCCTAGAGAGGATCGCGCCCTAGCAGTTGCCGCCTCCCGCCTTCCCCGCCCCCAAATTCCCCTTCCGCCTCCTTCGGAGGCCCTTGGCCACTTTTGACCTAAATTTCCTCACAAGCTTCGGAGTCACCCGGGAACGAACAGCCTGGCAGTTTGTTCTCTGAGGCTCCCCGAGGCTCCCCCAGCTGCTCGCGGAGGCACGTTCTGTGCCGAGCAGAATGTTCCAGACAGCCCGCGCGGGCCTGGGGCGCTGCGGAACACCGCCCTCCCGTCCGTCTCCCATTTCCACACTGCAGGTGCAAAGCGCGCTCATTAAATCCGCGTCGGGGGCGGGCGCGCGGCTGCCTGTTGCCCGGCAACGACGCCCGCCGAGCGCGCCCCCCCCCACAGCCCGAGGGCGCCGCGCGGGCAGGCGGGGCGGGGCGCGGGCGGCCGAGGGAGGTGGGGGCAGGAAGGCCGGCGGGGCCCGTGTCGCCTCTTTCCCGCCCTGGGAGCCGCATACGGCTCTTTTTGACACCGGTGCTCGCGATCCACGTCCCAGCCTCCCCCTCCCCCGTCAGCCAGCCGCCGTCCCACGGAGCCAGCGCCAGAGCGACGCGAGCCAGCCTTCTCCCGCCTCGCCGGCCCGGATGTCCTTCCGACAGGAGCGAAGGGCTCAGCTCCAGCGTCCGGGCCTGCCGGGGGCTCGTCTCGGCCAGGCAAGGCCCGGTCCCTGCGGCTGGCCCGGAGGCCCGGAGGCCCGGAGGCCTGGGAGCCGGGGAGGATGCGGGTGGCAAAGCCGGGGCGGAAGCTTTCGCCGCAAGGAGAACAGTGCCCCCTGCTGGCGGCGTCCCGAGGGTCACTCCACCGGGCTGCCGGTCCCCAGTCCGGCGGTGGCACCCATCCGGACCGCCTGCAGTGAGCGCACTCTAGACCTCCGAAGAAACAATAGGGATGGGAGAAGAACTGAGGCAAGAAGGAGACAGAGGCAAGACGGGAGGACCGGCGCAGGAGGTGTGGCCTTCCTTTGGGGGTTCTCCTGACCTGGCAGGGACACCCTCGCATTTATTTCCCCACGCAAAAACGCAGCGCAGAACCAAAGCCCAAGTTTGATGGGAAGACGGCAGACGCCCCCCACCGCCGCTCCCGCGCCCCCCGCGCCCAGCCAGGGTTGGGAGTGCTTTGTCTGGAATACACAATTCCCACTGGCTTAGTGGACGACGTCAGACGTGCTTCTAAGAATATCACAATGGGAGAATGCGATGGGGGCCGCACAGGGGAAAAGGCAGCAATTAGTAGCTTCTGAAGGAGCTTTGCTTGGCTGAAGACCTTGGAGCGGAGGCCCTGCCCACAGGGTTCAAAGGAGCAAAGCAAAGCATAACGTTAGAACCTCAGCAGGAGCCCCATATGTTTTTTATAAAACGGCACAATGTGAGCATTGTTCTGTGCTCAATGGCGCAACTGTTATAACTAATGCTTTTGGTATGAATACGACCATTTAAAATTCCCAACCAGTTGCACTTAGTGACAATACACATCAGAAAACAAGCCCAGAAGCAGGGAGTTCTCACTTTGGGGTCAGTTGGCTTTAAATACACATACACATGCCTTTCAATGTGCCCAACTTCCAAAAATACACTGAACATTTGCAGAACAGTGTTCTTGTCCCTGGGACGTGCAGCTACAAATGCTGTAGCAGATTTTCACGTGTATATCTGAGCACCTAACTTTGACTCTGTGTACACAGGGCCGATGCACAGATGGAGCACTTTGTGCCACTCCAGCCCCTGACTTCCCGCTCCCACCGCCAGCCTACCCCCAGATCAGCCTGGCTGGCA